TAGCATTCATACACTACAATTCTGCCCACTGATACACTAATACCGCTTTGCTGAGGTGACATATTTAAACATAAGTAAATAAACAATACATATGTTTGTGCAATTTTGTACAAAGCAATAACAACCGTCGTTCCTTTTTTTCAGATTACAGTGCACCTCCAATTTCATGTGAGCAGACTAGAAAATAAAGTGCAGTGTGATCTTGCATATGTTTGATAAGATTAACGATTGTATCAAAGGCCGCGTAGTAACCTCAGCAAGGAGCCCAAACTCCACGAGCGAGTACAGGCCACAATTAATCCATCATTATGCACTGCTACAGTTTATATCCGTGAACACACACACAACACACAGCAAGACCGCCTACCAGCTAGTGTCTGTCTCAATATCCCCTGCATTAGACATGCAGGAATGTTAACATCATTATGCACAATTGTGAATGTCTGTCTGTGCCCTCCCCCTTTTCTCCCCTACCATATTGTGTCTGCTGGTTAGTCCACGTGTGTGTGTGTGTGTGTGTGTGTGTGGGGGGGGGGGGGTCTGAAAGAGGGCGGCATTATTTAAATATGAGGTTTTTTTAATACAAGTTGAAACAAATTACTGATTGTATGGCTATGAGAACCTCTGAATGTGATATTGTTAAACCATGTCTACATTAATATCAGCATCAGGGGAAGTGATGCTGCAGGATTCCATTTCATGGAAAATATACACGCTTTGCAAAATCATTACATTTTTGAGTTAGGATTTTATTACGTAATTCTAGGATTTATCTACAAATTAGGATTGAATAAAGATTTTGAATTTATTTGTGATAAAACACACATTGGCATCTTTTACACCGCACACACTCTGAACACACTGCAATGCTGTGTTTTGAATTATTAAATGATTTGGGATATTATTTGGGATGAAAGCAAACTTACTTTTAACATTTAAGTACACAAATGAATATTTTTGTCACTTTTCTGTGGTGATGCACCTGTGATATTTTGCATAGGTAGCCCTACTAATGTTTTAAATATTCATAGTGAGAACCAAATCAAATATTCAGGAAAATAAATACAAGCATTTTTTAAAAACTTGGGTAATGGGTAAAGGAAAATGGAGGCTGACCTAGTTCAACAATACCCCCAGTTATTGAACATACTCATGAAAATGTCGCATGTTTGATAAAGTTGAAGTTTTTTACTGAGAGGAGGCAAGAAAGAGAGGAGACTTTCATTAGCGCTGGAGTTACTAATATCTGCTCTGCGTTTCTCAGAGCCAGTACCGTCAAAATATTGCTTCATCACACATGTACTGCAATGCTGTTTGCAGCCATTTGCACCTCTATGAACAGCCTCTTGAATGAACACTATGTATTTTGTTGCATCATTAAAAATAAAGAACAATTTCCAGCAAAAAGGAAATAAAAAAAAAATATACAAAGCTACATATTGTTTAGGAATTGTGAGTAAACAGATCTATCTAGTATTTATAAGCAGAAGAAACTCTACAAAGCCTTGCTTTTATGTCAAACACTGTGCTGAAGAGATTCAGAATCAGACTTGAAACTAATATATTTTTAGTTATCTGCGTTACTTAACTTAAAGAAAGATTGTCCAGCAAGTGTTGTATACAAAGTCCTTGGCATCCCTCTGCTTATACAAACTCCCCTCTTGCCACCTTGCTGTTCCTTGCTGCCAGCGATTTGCATTCATTTGCATGATTTTACGATGTGCATATCCTTTGTTCTGACTGTATGATGATGCAGAAGAAACCCCCCCTACGCAGTGCTATTACACAGCCTGCTGAAAGCTACTTGGATATGAAATGGAAAAAAAAAGCTGTATCTGTTTTAATTATAAATGGTAAATGGGTAAGACGAGATTCCCACAAATACCAGACTCGTCCCATGGTACACCAATGATAATGTAGTGCATCAGAATGAGGGAAAAAATATGAGCATGTTCTAGTTTTGTGGAATTTTTGAGCAACCATAGAAAGGACATGTTGTGCTATCGCTAAGAGGCATGAGCATCTGCAATATATAGCACGGGGAAAGGATTGCATCCAAGCATGAAATATGGAATTACTTGACAAATAGGAAATAGGAAAATTATGGATGGAAACTAAATCACTGCAAAGAAAAAAATACCTTTAACATTTTTTTTTTTTTTTACAGTATTTTCATAAATAATGTACCAGTTGCATCTCTGGTTTTAGTTATTATTTAAAATATTTGCCACTGTATTACCTGAACATAAAGAATTAAGCCTTTGCATTTACTATGCCATCTTTACTGTGCCAAATTGTTCATTTTGATGTTTGTGAATAGACCTGCTGCAAAGCTTTCCTGTATGCGGGCATCTTTTGTTCTCTGTTGTTGTTTTATCTGTGCAGACAAAATGCACGCACACACTCGCACACATACAGACGCTTTAGCACTCCTTAATCATGCAGGGACATGCAGATGACTTCATTAATCGCTATGGGCTAACACTGATGATACAGCCAGCCTACAACACTGGAGGGTTTATATTCGCAAATGCGGGCGCCACATTATAAATACTCACCCCCGCTGGCACCCTAATAGTAAGCAGCTGTACTCCAAATATTCATGTCTGATAGATGATTATGAGTATAGCATTGGTAATGAGGTGATGCTATGTAAATAAACTATACTGTATAGTAAACAAACATGTTTTCATGGTTGCTTATCTTGATATTTTGCAAATGGTACTAAGGCAAAATTTACATAGCAAAAAAAATATCAATCACGACCATCAATTTTAACATGACAGAGAGGGAGAGAAAGACAGAGGAAAAAAGGGAAATGTCCTCATTTCAATTGGGAACATTTCCTGATATTGTCAAAGTACATCTGTTATTGAAAATTTGAAAAGCTGTCCTGGTTTCCTGTTTCAGCTTCAAACCCATGACCCTACCATACACTGCAGGCTGGCAAAGCTGATGGTGGATTAGATGTTACTCATAAAAAAGCTTACCTTTCTAACTAAATAATGCAAAGTCAGATACAGGGGTCTAATGACCCTGACACAGTTAAAGGGCAGGGCTTTTAGCAGAGAGAGTGAGGTCTGTCTAAAGTGATAGTTTTGTATGTGCAGGAAATGGATTGCTAGGATCGTCTACAGATGTCGTGTTTGCTGCATCTAATTGGATCGTCTAGTGAAAACTTGAAACTGATGAAAGCAAGATTTTTTTTATTCAAAAGTCAGCTTTTTAATGCTATTTTACAAATTGTTTGATATTTTAAGCTGCTGACCCACTTAAATTCAGCTATGCAGTGACACAATTCTCAAGTCTCAGGTAACAACTTCCTCTTTCACAAAGGGCTAATGGTTTTCACTTTACCGTTTAACATCTTAGGTCAGCCTGATTAACACAAAGAAGCAGTATTCCTATATTCTAAGCTGAAACTATGTTGGAATAACAGCACATTCAGTAGACATTGAAAAACACCAATGTTCAAGTTATAAGATATTCCATATGAAGCATTGCTATGGTGGCAAAGGCAGTCACTCTATACAAAAAGTTTTTGTGGAAATTTACCTCAGAGTTCGCCGTAAGACACCATCTCTCTGTGGTATAGTCTAGGTGGTTACAGACTTGATCACTGACTTTTCCTACCCAGTGACTTGCCCTGCCCTTCTAATTGGCCCTTCTGAGCAGTCCACCAAATATGTGTGAGTATTAGGAGTAATTAGCATGAGCAACACCACCGCACACTCAGGCTTATGGGCACTGACATAACACCAATTCTCTTCAGCATCATCAGGAAATATATGTTTGACTCTCTCAACAGTTACTGGATTTGAATTTCTTCATAACAAAGTAGCTTCTGTGGGGTATTACTTATTACCATCAAGAGCATGAGCATGGCGCAGCTATCAAGCACTACTTTATATTTTCTGCTGACAGTGACAGATGTCAATAATTCCAGCTAGTTCAAAGTTGACATAAAGAAAGCATAGATGGTAATCAGCTGCTGCCAGTTAATATAATACATATTTCTTCGTCATGGGAGCAAGTTCAGCTCATTAAAATGTTTGTCTCCCTTCAATAACATAAAATGTCGTGTAATAATAGCTGGAGGTCTAACTGATAGAGCAAGATGTCCTGCACGCAATGCAAACAATGCCAGGGCAGAGGGCAATTACTGTTACAGCGTGGCGTTCAATGGCTAGAGGAAATTTTTGAAATCACTTCCTGGTTGTAGCTACTATCGGTGTGTGTGTTGTGTTACTGTGATGATGAACAATGAACAGTAACCTCTGTTTCCCCTGTGCTTCTTGTCTTTGGTATGGACCACAGGGCAAAGAATGGGTCATGGGATTTGATATTGCCCACGATCACATCGCCTGAGCTCCCTTCAAACCACTGTTATTCTGTTTACTGTGTCCTCTGGACCACTACTAACATCTATGCCTTTATCCAACACACACATGGGCTAACTTTGCTGCAGGCAAACAGACACACACTGACACAGACACACATATCAGCAGAGATAGGCACAGAGGGGAAAAACACTCAGTCAAAACCCATGCCAACAAAGATATTTGGCTGTGTTTGACAAAACGTTCAGTACTTTTTATTACATTTTTTTCAAATAAATATCAAAAGCATGTGTCCTGTAAATAATTCAGAGCCAAGTAATTTGTGAATTAGAAAACATAAAAATATCATTACTGATTAAAACCCTAGCAACACATTCCTAGAGTGAGTTTCATTTATTTTTTTGTCCTTGAATGACTAGGTGTCACAGTAATCCCATAAATACGGAAAAATACAGTTTAGGTGTGATTAGGCTAAATTTGAGTTGTTTCTGTTGGATACAAAAATGGATAGCAGAAAATACTCCAAAACTTAATGTTGTCATGGTATTGCACAAGCCTACACATTTAGCCCCTATAAGTTAATACTGTGTACACACACACACACACACACACACACACACATGCGCACACACACACACAAACATTTTGGTTTGTGCTCACCTCATGGGGGTCCAGTGGAGAGCAAAATCCCAGAGATCTCATGTTGACCTCTACGTCCTGCAGCATGCAGCTCTCCACAGCTCCATTTTTCCATCACTGCAGCAATAAAATACATACACACAGTCAGACAGTGCATAAGTTTAGTAAGAGGTAACCTTTACATGTTGAATAACTCATCTTGAGCAAATCACAATTAACATGTTTCCACTAAAAAGAAAAGAGGGGAAAGCAAACGCAGAGTTATATGGTAGAGGAAGCAAAACATGGGTAGTATTTACCACAGCTAGGTTTACTTACAGGAATTCAAATTGGCAATAACTTTGTGCAAATATCTTCTCAACCTTTACACTTTGCCACAAATAGCAAGTCAAACTTGGGACTTTAATGGCACATAAGCAGCTGGTTTGCACATCAATTGAAGGTCATGGGAGACTATTTTTTTCATACTTGAAAATACGAATGTGACACCTTGTTGTTGTTACTTTGCCCTTCATTATTGATATATAGATACTTAAGTAGTAAAGAGTCCCAGACTAATTCGGCGTATGCCAACGCTGTTTCAGCAGCCATGTTGGTGAACCCAACCTCTATTGACCTCTGCCTCCTCTCACTGGAGTTAGGAGGTCACATGTCAAGGCTAAGGGACAAGGCCATTTGAGGTCAAAGGTAACAATTATAGATTGAAGCATCCCATGGTTAGTTTGGGACGTAATTTTTGACTGCGCACAGCAACATGCCAATGAACTTGAATGCATCCTTGAACAATTGGGCATTTTTTGTTTCATGTTTTGTTTTCACTTTTGTCCTTTAACCCTGTAAATAGATGTGACTGCTGACATTCTCCTCATGTGAAGATAGGTTTAGGAGAATCCAGTCAAAAACTGGTGAGATGTCAAAAATACTGTAGTTGAACAAGAATGACAGGGGTTTTACAAATATTTTTGCTTTGGTTTTTATCTAAAATCTTAGATAAAAACAGATTAAATTTTATTTTCATGTAGTAGCTATGACTCATAAGAAATATATATAGAGGAATATATAGTGTATACTGTAAGTAGTTTCTTTCTTCTAGATTTCTTTCCTCATGTGATTGTGAGGCTCTTCTGGCATGTCAGTATCAAACTGACAGATGTCACATTTTATTAAAGCTCCATATCAAAGTGCACACACACTCACACACACATAGGTAACCACACACTTGCACTGACAGGCACACTGTCAGGAAGCTACATGGCAATAATCGATAATACAACCACAAAAGATTCTTATGATTTAGGCCTCAATTTTATTTATGTATTTATTTCATCAAATACAAACTACAAAAATTGCATTAAAATCAAGGATCATGGGGAAAAAAACATGAACGTCAGAAAACCATAACTTTTAAATTCAATTAACACTTCAGGGGTAATAAGAAGAACCCATAAAAAGAAGTAGGTTATCTTTATACAGGGCATATTGTCATACTCCCCATTGCAATGTTGTGCACTATCCTGAGTGTGTTTTGCGGTTGGGTGGTAAACCAGTGTGTGTGTGTGTGTGTGTGTTTCTAGCCCTACGGCAGGGTTTAGGGTAACTACACAGAAGCCCCCCCTCTACCTTCACCCTGTTCCCTTTGCGGCTTGTGTGGCTTGTCTCATCCCATCTCCCTCCTGCTCCTCTATCTCCCTCCTTCGCTCTTCTCTTCTCCCCCCGCTTCCCCTCTCCCCACCACTACTCTGCTTCTAGCCTACATGTGTGTGTAGGGTCGGTGGGGGGTGCGGGGAGATCACTGGCGACCACAGTGCCAACAATCAACCTTTCTCTAAAGCAGCAGTGTGGTGATGCAGATGATGCTGAATTTAATGCAAATTGCATATACATATCATACACTGTCACACACACACACACACACAGGTAACATAAATAAGATAACATAAAGGGGAACATATACATGGACTATTTTTATAAAGTGGGAAAATAAAATTGATCTTCAAGTGAGCTGCACTGATTTGAAACGCAGTGTAAGACATTTTAAATTGGAAATTTATTTTCATATTCATTTTGATATAAGTGATGCAGAAGTGACTGTGCCTTTCTCACATTGTGTGACTCCTCACCAATTGCACCTACCTACATGAAAAAAAAGAAGTAGTCATAGAACAAAAGCATTTCCTTTACGAGAGGTGTGTCTGCTCTTCACCTTGGTGGCTTTCAGTGTTTCATTATCCAAAGTTGAGGTCTGCTTTGCCAGCCAGCTCCCCCATGCTGCCTGTCTCATTTCCTCCCGGTAACAATCCATTAGCCAACACCAGGCTCAAACACGCAGACGCTTAATTATTCTCACTTTTTTGGCAGCACGCCGGGGCGTACCACTCATCAGAAGAAACAGGGGAAGTGTGGAAGGGAACAGCTGATATTATGTATATACTTTTTGCATGTAAAAAGGGACAACAGACTGACAACTCACATAGACTTATTATCCACACACACACAACACATTACTAGTACATGAACATAATGACTTCCAGATGAATACACACACAGCACTCCACATGTATCATCATCTACAGAAACAAAATTACAGGTCAATGACCAATTTAAACTAAAACTCTAATTGTAACAATAGTCAAATTCCTCCGACAACATGTGAACTGCATATGTGTGTGTCTGTGTGTGTGTGTCGATGCCCACAAAATGGGGATTATGTGTGTTATAATTTATCTTGAATAATTTCCTGCACATTCTTCTTCATGGTATGCCTCAGGAGCACTTCAGGATGAAAGGGAATGCTAATGCTGTCTGTATCTCACTGAACAATGTGTGTTTGTGTGCTGTACGTGTGTTTGTGTGTGTGTGTCTGTGTGTGTGTGTACGTGTAAGTGTGTATGCCGCCTCACCAAGCACATTTATGATAATTAACAGATAGGAGAGGTCAGCTACAGTGTGTGTATGTGACAGTGAGTGTAAGAGAGAAGGTGGTAGAAAATTATAGGGGGAACAGTATGGGATTGATTGATATGATTTACATAAATTGGTAATATTGTCACCTACTTCCTTCCTCTGCTCTGTAGCGTTCGTATTGTTGTTTTTGGTGTAACAGTTCGAAGAAAGGTATCATTTAGACTCTCACAAAAAGAGCAAGTTTTGGCAGTGACTGTTCACAAAAGGTAAAATGTTGCACCTTTATCCTCAAGGTCCAGGTAAGAACACTGATATATTTGTGATATGTACAATGTCTTGACTTTCATTTCTATCATGTGTGGTACTTTAAGTGGCAAGCTCTGGATGAAAATTACAGCAATCAAATAATTTAATGAACCGTTTAACAATGCAAATAAACACATAAATATGTGTAATTTTGAAATGTGTTCAAATAGAAATGCTTTGTGTGTCCAATTACAATGTTTTGTCAAAGTGAACTTGTTTTTGTTTCTTGTGCTGAAAATTCATAGAAATGGTAAATTGAAATCTTAAAGTATTAGCAAATACCAGTTTAGTTCTGATGGCTAATTTTGTCGCTTGTACCCAATAAACGGCATGCAACAGAGAGCTAAACGCAAGCCGATCTCATAGGTGACAGTAATCGAGGGAATTAATACATGCAAATGAAATGCTCAGCATGCATTGCTGCCGATGACAGTAATTGAATAACTGACTTTCATAGCTCTGTGTTCCCGTCCACATACCGCACAGAAATTTGTATGCGTTAATGTGTATGCGTGCGCGTGTCTATGCCAGCGGACATTTTAGGTCTACCCTCCTCACACTCTCACTACTGCCAAACGCCTTAAGATGGTGGCACCTTGAGGCAGAGAGAGACACTCATAGAGAAAGCCAACCTCCTCCTCCCTTTTCCCTTCTTCCACCTCGGGTCCTCACGACAACACAGGACAGGCCCCCCTTCCTAACCCTTAGCCCCCCTAATAAATATTTAATTCACCCCTCTCTAATAAGGACATTAGGCGAGTACACCCCAGCCCTGGCATATATGCATGAGTCCTTTCTCATCAAATTTACATAAAAGGGCCAGATGCTAATGCGAGCGTAGCAACTACTGCTCACTATTCTATACGCACTGGTACTGGCTCGCTAGTCAAAGAGCCCATATAATTTAATTGCCGAACAGCATATATTTTTCAAATGGTTCCCCGTATTCAAATTGCATCTAGGCCTCAACACCATATGCTTTACAAAGAATGCCAAGATGGGCATATTTAATTGTACTGGCGGCACGTCTACAGTATTTATGCTTATTTAATGTTTTCTGGAGCCCCTCCCATTTATGGAATGGTGTATAATACAGCCGTACTTGTGCATAATATGAAAAAAGAAAAAATCTGAATGTTCAGACAAAGAATACAGGTGCATTGTGCTTTATAGAGTCAGTGCTTGTTCAATTATTAATTATCATTTCAACAATAAAAGCCAATTAAGATTTTGAAATCATGCTGATAGTGTTAGGAGTTCACTAATGGGAAATTGAGAGTGAATACAGTGAGACACAGTTAACAGTATAATTTAGAGACAAATACCCGGATCTTTACAGATCGTGGCTGTACATACAATGTACAAAAAGCAACATGAAAACCCCTTTAATGTGGAGTAGAGCATATGGTACGTTGAGACTGAGCACCCTGATGTTTGTAATTAATAGAGTATGAATAATGCAGTGACATGAAATATATTATTTACACCCTTTCATCTTCGAGGAAGATTCAAAGCATATTTCAGATGCAATTATACTAATTTATTTATAGTGCATGGTATTTGCATAATCAAAAGCCAGCAGAGCACAGATATCCTAGAAGACAGGCTACAGCCAGCTTTAAACCTGTATTGCAAAAATAGCATTTATGCACACACCCTTATTGTGCTCTGCTGCCACAGTATTGATATCATGTATGTACATAACTGAAACTATATTGTCTAGTTGTTGGCATTATTATCATTGGCAGTATAGGTACAAAATGTATAATGTGGCATTTGCATCATATCCTGCCTAAAGTATGCTTCTTTTGCATTATATTTATACACTGGATTTGTCTATCATTTAAGCAATAACACCCTTTTATTTTAATGTTTGCGGTATTAAAAACATTATTATCAGCTCACAC